TACTTTTCTCCAGATGTTTAATTAGGGCATGATGCCAGCCTCTTCATCTGAATCCTTTGATCCCTAATGATAAACAATATGACCAGGGAAAGGTAATTTTTTAAAGCACAAACCCTAAAACTGATAATAACATCTACTTCCAAATACAAATGAAGACACAAAATATCGAAAGCTGAACACTCTCCGATAGCTTTGATGGTGTCCTCATGTCTGACACCAGTATCTAATGTACCAATTCAAATTTACAGAACTAACAGATATCAACCAGCAATAAGAGGTGCCTCCACTGTGAAAAATGAGGGTTCTGTTTGCAGAAGAGGAACCATATTGGGTAGGAGATGGGATGCTTCATCTTTTTTCTTGCCCACCACTTTTATCTTCCTTCACACCTTCACAACTGTTTCCTCCCAAGTTTCTAATTGCAGGTAGGAAAGCAACATCATGTCTCAGTTTTTAATTCAGATGCCTGGTATGTTCAAATGAAGGCACAGTTGTATACTGAACCACTGGTTTTCTGGCTTAGGCTTGTGGAAGTTTTATAGTCTGGCAATATCTGAAATGCCTCACATCACTGAAAGAAAGGCACTCTTCTGGTGGTGGGGGGCATCATCACTCAATGGGAGAGCAAATTATTTGTAGGTCCTGGGCTCTGGCATATCTAGTTTAAAGAATCAGCATATATTTCTTTTCAAATGAGGTTCTCTATTTGGAGTGAGAGAAGGCAGGCCAACTGCATATGGCCTAGCCTGAAAAATACTGTATTTAGTCTTTTAAGCAGGAGTGGGTGGGTGGGTATTGTATTACTGTTATTGTTGTAATGTATGTTTTTAATTTGTATCTTATATTTGTAAGCTGCCTTGATTGCTCAGCCCAAAGGCGGGATATAACAAATAAATTATTATTATTATTATTATTATTATTATTATTATTATTATTATTATTATTATTATATGTGTAAGCAGGGATGACCTGTGGCTATTCACAAAGGCAATTAATGTAAAGATTTGTTTAAATGACAGCAGCTAAACAGGGAATCAAGTGTTTCAGATGAAAGTGCTATATATCAGAATTCAGAGGAAAATCAATGGATTTCAGAGAATATACAATGTAATGGTTGAAATAAGTTAGATTCAATAGTAAGTTGTCTCTTACAAAAAGGATTTATTACATGCAAAATTAGCCACAGTGTTGGCCATTTACACTACATTTGCCTCTAATGTTCTACCAGCTCTCTGCTTAAAGCTTACTCTGTATGCAGCTGTTTAACAGTTTGTCCCAATTAAAGACTTATATCTACAAATTCCAGGACTTAGGTGAAGATCCATGAAGATTCATATGGCAAAAAATAGTCCTGGGAGAAAAGGTGAGAGTGAGGGTAAAAATAAACAACTAATCAGGCCTGGCTGTTACCAGGAGAAACTAAACTAAACTAATTAAAATAAAAGAAGCTAAGCTGTGCAAAAATTTATGAAAGACTTAACTCATAAAAAAAAAAAACTGAATTGTGAATTCATAGGCTTTCATGGCCAGCATCCATAGTTTTCTGTGGGTTTTTCGGGCTGTGTGGCCATGTTCTAGAAGAGTTTGTTTCTGACATTTCCAGCATCTGTGGCTGGCATCTTCAAAGAAAACTGGAATGGAAGAGAATGGATCTATAATATACTGTGAGACCCTGGGTAGGGGGGAGTGGTTCCCAGGTGAACTG